CAAAAGGGGGTTGGAAATTCTGAAGCAGGATTTCTTTTCTCTTTAATATATATATTATGAAAATTACATATTTCCCCCTGGAAACTTTAAGTATAAGGCAAAGGTTATCAACTGAAATAAATTACCCAGTTGATAAACAAGAGTTAAACTAGTATAATATAAAATATTCTAAGTTCTCTACATCTTCAGAAATCAGATGAAAATGAGCTATTAAGCAATGGTTACTTGGGTGCACAAAGATGCAGCCAAAGGAAACAGAACTGTGGGCTGAACCAGCTCTGGCTGCAGTTTCTAGTGTCTGCCTTCAGGGGAGAGTGTTACAGGTGCAGACAAATACCCCGAGTAAACATGCAGTCAGTGGGGGTTTCCCCTGCACTAAAAATAGACTCCTTTGTGAAAGGTGAAAGAAAAGGAGAGCCTGAGGTCCTGGTTACTTGAAGTGGTGGTGGCGGGGCGGGGGTGGGGGGGTAGTAAAAACGCAGGAAGAAATGTCAGAGGAGTACATCTAGGCAGATGGGTCCCTAGGCAACCGCAAAGGGTCTCAGGTCCTGAAGAAGTGACATGAGGCAGAGGGGCCTCCACTTGTAAAGGGTAGGTAGACAGAGACATCCAGTGATTTGTACTCCAAAGCCCCACTCCCACCCCAAACCCAGAAACTTGACACAGGTCCTGAGGCAGACAGAGAGGAGGTAAGGTTAAGTTTTTGTTTTAGTTGGATGTAGCAGAAGGGTGGGAATTCAGAGTTGAAATGAGATTGGGTTATATGACACAAAGTAGTATTTCTTGTGCACCTGATTTTGTGATCTGAGATTCATACTCACTTGGCCTCCAAGCCATTCATTTGTTCAACCAATGCTTGTTTTGTACCTATTACATGCAAAGGAAAATGGGAGAGAAAAAGCCATGCTCGACATATCTGCGACATACCTACTTGTAAAATGAGCAAAGTGAATCCATGGCAGCTACTTGTCAAGATAGAAAGCCTTCCTCCGTTTATTGGCCGAACTTGGTAAGAATGGGTGAGTCTGAAATAAATAATATTCTTAATGAGTTGAAAGGAAAGTCACGGTCATTTCTGTGAAGTTTATGCATTTCCCATCTATATTTATCTAGACCTGACTATTAGAACATGTTCCTTCATACAGCATTCTTTGCTCATTCCAGGTGAAAACGACTGCCTCCCAGCCTGCATCCGAGCTATGTGAGAGAGTCATCAAGGACAGACAGATGTAGGATTCACGGTTAACTGGTAAGGGTTTAGCACAGTGCCTGACACACCTGAGGCCCTGGACAATGTGCTGTGGCCCTCCACGGGCTGCTTCCTATCTTAATTCGCTGTGTTGCTCTGGCTCTCTGGGTGACAACCAGTGGAGCCCTCAGTGCGTCCACAGGCAGTCCTCGGTCCTCACCCTTGGTCTTTGACCCTTGACTTGTGTGGTTTTCCTCTCACCTCTCTGCTCTTTTGTGCACCCCTTTTTTTCCTCATTTTACATCCTATTTGTAGTTGTTCTTTGATTTCTGTTCTAACCCCTTGCATTTCTGTGTACTTCCTGATGAGCTCATGTACTTTGGTGGTATCAACTATAACCTTTATGTTGGCTACTCACAAATATTTATGTGTAGCTTGCTATATCTTGCATGCTCCAATGTCCCTGGTGTTTAATCTTTTTTTTAATTTTTATATCATGTCACACTAGGGAAAAGATGACATATTTTAAGTGGGTAATTGAGGAGAATTTAATAAGGGGAGTATTAACAAACTTGTAGACAGGTTTTAGGGGAATAAAAAAAGGATGGTGTCATTAAGGAGAAAATAAAGACCAAGTCATCAAGAATTGAGTGGTGAGTAGAAAAGTCTTACTGTAAAGAGGGAGACTGGGTCCCCACACCACTGAGGGAAGAGAAAGATAAAAATTCTTTTCAAACCGGAAGATTGCTGTTTGTTTTGGGAAGATGAAATCTCTCAGTGTTGCTCATTAGCTCATAATATCTGAGCTTACTAGTTCCTTAAAAGCTTGGCTGGTGGCTGGAGGTGGCTCCTGCCATAAATGCATGGGAAGCCCATCCAAGAATTATAGCTTCTGCATATCTCTGCTTCCTCTGGGACTTCCTAGGTTTGGGATTTTGGCGGCCAGTGTTTCTGCTGATTATGTGAAATGTGCTACCAAGAGCAGGAGTGATTCCTACTTCCAGGACTGAAGGGACAAGGGAAAACAGTGGTTGTAGAACTCAAAAGGTTAATGATATGAAAAGCCTCTTGACAGGAGCTTTGGTAGACGCATCTGTGGCAACACAGCAGGATGGGAGCTGACAGAACCCGTAACTGGATCTCACTCTCTTGTACCCCCTCAGTCCCCAAAAAGAAGCTCCCACAAGGCATCCTACTGAGCTAGGCCTTACGGGTCAGCTTTCTGGAACTAAGAGCAGGGTGAAGAAAGGTTGAGAGTGGATGTGAAGGAATACACGGAAAATAAACAACAAAATTCCCCTATCAGATCTAATTTTTACAATGCTGCTTTTTTTCTCTAGCTCCTCAGGAATCTATAGATTTCTAAAGTTTCGCTTTCACAATCCCATCTTAATATTTCCTATAGTTGTCTCCATAGAGACTCTTTCTGTTTGCTTTTAAAGCAAAACTGGGAGGACCATTGGGAGTAATAATCCATCTGCTGTTACTGAGTTGGGAGCCCCACAAACTCATTGAATGAAGCCCTAAGTCCTAAAGTGGCTGTATGTGGAGGTGAGGCCTGTAAGGAGGTAATTAAGATTAAATGATACCATAGGGTGAGTCCCTAATGTAATAGAACTGGTGTCTTCCTAAGAAGAGTAAGAGACACCAAGGGTATGAGTGCTTGTATGTGTGCACGTGTGTGCATGTACAGAGAAAAGGCCCTGTGAAAACACAGCAAGAAGGAGGCTATTTAAGAAGGAAAGTCCTCAGGGGAAACCAGCCCTGATAAGCAACTTGATCTTGGAATTCTAGCCTCAAGGATTCTGAGAATTAAATTTCTTTCGTGCAAGCCACCCAGGCAGTGGTATTTTGCCAGGCAAGCCTAGCTGAATAATATACCATTGCTTCTAAACATCTTTCTTTGAGCATCTTATTTTCTCGTTCTTCATAGATATCACCTACGATTACATTTAACTCTCAGAATCCTAGAAAGTAGGTATTCTCAAACCAGTTCTCACAAGTAAGAAAGCTGAGACTCAGAGAAGTTAATGGCTTGTCCATGGCCACAAAATAGTACGTAACAGAGATCTGTTACTGGAACTTGTCTTGTTTGGCTCTAAAACTATTATATTGTGCTGGTGTCACATGAAAAAGGAATGTTAATTACTGTGGTTCTGCTGTGGCTGGGTTCAGTTAGGAATAATTACTTTATGTTTGTGCAGCAGCCTTAGCCTTCTCTTTTCATATTTCTTGAGCTTCAATTATCACCCAAACTCATGACTCTCAAAGCTGTAACCGTGACCTACTCCTTTTTCTTTAGTTTCAGACTCATCTTTGCTACTATCTACTGTATACGTCACCTGGATGTCCTACGCACATCAACTCAGTAAAGAACCACAGACTGAAATACTTGTGGTTTTCTGGATTCCTTCCCCTGTCGTCTCACTAACCCGGTCCAAGCTGGTCGCTGACCCCCGTGGCTTTAATCTTCTCATTGTTTCTCAGACATGTTATTCCCTCTTCATTTCCAGTGCAGCTGCCCCCAGCCCAGTTCCTGGATCATTTTAGTGACCTCCTAAACTGGTCCCACTGCCTTTTGTCCTCCTCACTGCTACCTCAGGGTTTTGTCTAAAGACTTTAGTAAGCACAAAATTACCCTGCAGTGATCACTCCATTGTCTTTATGTTAAAATACAAATTGCTTAACAAGACATGATCTGCTACCTTCCTCTTCAATTTCATTTCCCCAGCTAAATCCTAGAGCAAATCATTTGACTTGTCACTTAGCCTAATATTTAAAAGTGCATGCTGGTGTTAGGCTGCCTCAACTTGAATCAAAGTTTGACTTCTTACTAGGTGTGTAAACTTACTAGGTGTCTAGACCTGACAACAGAATCTACTTCACAGGGTTATTTTAAGGATTAAAAGAGCTAATACACACAATGAGCTTGTATCTTAACTGACACATAATTTGTTAAATATTAGCTACTATTACTGTTATCATTAGCCCTCTCATCCCATGCATTTGCGCTGCTGGTCCCTCTGCCTGGAATACTCACGCTCTCTCAGCATCTGGCTATTCCTTTCTTTTTTATGAACACCCAGTGCAGGGGTCCCACCTCCCAGCAAGTTTATCCTGCCCTGTCCTCCTATTTCACGGGTCTCCACCGTTTCCTTTGCAATCTTCTTTGTTACTGTAACTACCATTTGAGTCTGTCTAAGCTGGGAGTCCCTAAAGGAGGTAGTGTTTTTTCTTTTTAAAACACAACTTAAGGTCAAGTAAATACTTGTTTTTTCCTGGGTAACTGCACAAAGAACGCACAAGTATTACGAAATCCGTGAATAGTTGTTCCTAAAGTCCACTTTGTCTAGTGTGGCCACTTGCCCCGAATATGTGACAAGACTATCTTCAAAGTACTTCGGGGCGGGGGGGGGGCAGGGATGTTGGTGGCGGCGGTGCTTAAGACCTTGGGCAGTAGCCATGACCCCTGGAGAAAAAGGGGTTTCCTTCTCACTTTCCCACCTTAACAAACTCTTAGTAGAAGCCTCGCGTCTTACAACCGCGGAGGAACACACGAACCGTTGCGTCGCACTCTACACCTGCACTTGTGAGCGCTACTACTCTGCGCCTGCGCCGCTCCAGCCAGCGAAATGCTCCTAGGTGGAGAGTGGGGCCACGGTTCGCCTTTTCTGATTGGGCGGTGGGAGCCAAAACTGAGGGCGCGGAAATGGCGTCAGGCTGCGCAGGCGCTGGCGGCCCTGCGGCGCGGTGGCTGCTGGGGGCTGCGCGCCTCACCTTCCCTCGCCTCTTCCCTCCCGCCTCCCGTCCCCGCCCCCTCGCCACTCCGCTCCCTGGCGTGACTCGGCACGGAGAGCCCCGGGAGGAGCTCGGCGATCGCCACCTCCTCTGTCCAGGCCTCGGCCTTCCTCTCCCGGGTCCTCGTCTTGTTTCGAAGCCGGTGGCGTTGCGACCTCCCTGACGGGCTCTCTGAGAATGGTGGGAGTGAAGCCGGTCGGGAGCGACCCGGATTTCCAGCCGGAGCTGAGCGGCGCGGGCTCCAGACTCGCCGTGGTCAAGTTCACCATGCGAGGGTGAGGCAAGGCCCGAGCTGTGTGGCCGCTGCTGCCCGGCGGCGATATCCTTTCCGTCTTTCCCGGCCCCGACTCCCTGGGGTCTCCTCCTGCTCCGGAATGGGTGGCGCTGCCCGCCACCCCAGGCCGCTGCCCAGTTAGGCCTCAGCCCTTGCGTCTGAGCCCCCGTTCGTGCACAGGGGCGCCTCCGCGGGCACGGATGCCAGGCTGGCCGCGTTCGCCAGCCCGGGAGACACCCGCCAGCCCGTTTTGAATCCCCCGACGAGCCCTGCGCTTGGGGGTGGCCTGGCTCTATTCTTCCTAGTCTGGGAGCGTCCTACATCCGCCCCTGCTTGCGTCTGTCCCTTTCTTTCCGGAGAGCCCGCCGGCTGTCACTTGCATCGTAGAAACCTTGAGATCTTAACTGACCAAACGCTTTGCTTCTCTGCACCCCCTGCATTTTAGTTAACCCTCGGAAGCTTCAGATGGGGCTCGCCAGCTAATCCGCGGAGTACTTAGTCAAAAGGCTCAGCTAATGCATTTTAAATTAAGTTAACGTTAGGTCAGGATGCCTTTTAATTTCTTAACGTTTTTGTTACTCGTTTGGCCAGTAGCTTTGTAACAGGTTTCCCTGTGTAGGCGATCACAAAAGCTACAGTAGGTGTGTATAATGCAGGCAGATAGGTGTCCAGATGTTTGGGTTTGACCAGACTCCCTTTTTTACCTGATGAATGAAAAGGACGGGGACCTTGAAAAGATGCTCAGGGGCTTTGGTAACTCTTAACGGAATGTGCAGGTCGCGGAGCTGGTGGGTCTTCCACGCTGGCTGGGAGCGCAGTGTTGCTGAGTGAGTGTCGCTCTGTGAGAGTGACGTGGAGGAACTGGGCGTTCGGAAACAGGATTTGAGTGAGGGTGTGTTCAGCGACCTTCCCGGGCGTCTGTCAGTGCCCAGTTGGAAGGATTAGAGGCCTCCACTTGATTTGCCTTGACGGTCAACAGTACTAACACTTACAGTGACTTGCAGCAATCTACTGCAGGTGTCACTGTTTCTGTAATACATTTTATTGTCTAACTATATGAACAAAGCAATATGTTGAGTCCCAGAGCAAAAAGTGATTCCTGTCTATTGAACATGATTCAATAAATGTTGAGTATAGAAGTGCAGACATTAGGAGTCGTTATAGTGGGTGGAGGGATGCAGATAGAGATGAAAACAAGTTAGGACTTATTTTTGAACCAGTCTCTTATGGAGTTGAAAAGGGGCAGTGCATTGAATTTCGTATGGCAGAAGAGAGTACCCATTTGACATGTGGACTTTGACATTTACTAAATTGAAGAGGATAAAGATTTCACCTATAAAGACATGTTTGAAAGGCATGTCAGAATTCTGTAACTGTGCCTTCCCAGAGTTAACACTTTTGTAATGTCTGTGCTCTTAATATGGGGGAATAGTTGTACATTTGTTAAGTACTTAAGCCAGAGTTAGAAAAGGGAAGAAATGATTTTAACAATGAATCTCATTTTTAGTTCACTTTCCTAATTCTAATCAGTGGGAGCATTTATACTTTTGTCCCTCAGTGATACATTCTCCCCCACCCGCCTTTTACCATAGCAGGAGAGATGACAGAGTAATACGTCATTAACTGAAGTGAGAAAAATGGGAAAATGTTGCTATTAAGGAAACACCTCCATTAGCAATGTATTATTTAACCATATTCGTAACTGTAGACATCGACTGGTAAAGCACTGTTATTTATTTTCAGAAAGGTATTTTGGTAGAATGAAAATTTTGTTTTCTTTTTAAAAACTGAGCTAATAGCCCTGGTAGATGTGGCTCAGTGGATTAACTGCTGGCCTGCAAACAAAGGGTTGCTGGTTTGATTCCCAGTCAGGGCACATGCCTGGGTTGGGGGCCAGGTCAGGTACCCAGTGGGAGGCACTGAGAGGCTACCACACATTGATGTTTCTTTCCCTTTCTCCCTCCCTGCCCCCTGTCTAAAATAAATAAAACCTTAAAAACAAAAAACCAAAAAAACCCAGCAAATAAAATGGTTGAATTTAGAGAACTTTTAAATTCAAAAGTATATTTAGGTAATTACAAATCTGGTAGGAATGTATTTTGACCATTAATGCATTCCTACATAAACTTCATGTCATTGTGATTCCAGATTTACATTTATGGGCGTCAGTATGAGACCCTCAAACAACCAACTGTATCCAATTAAATCATGTGAGAAACCTCTTAGGTCAAAGTTAATGTCCAATTGTAGGCCAAGAAAATAGTTTTCTCGACACCTATTTCATTTCTTTTCTAATTCTACTTTAACCCTTATTCTTTATTTTTCATGTCCATGCTTTATCTATCCTGTCTACCAATTTTATTAAACACTACACAGATTGTTACTCTTCTGTTTAAGAATCTTCAGTGGCTCATCAGTATCTTTTTTACATTTTTTTAATAGGTAATATATATGTGAAATAAAATTCATCATTTTAAGCGTTTTTAAGTGTACAGTTCAGTGGCATTAAGTACACTCACTTGATTAAGTACTTTCATTGACTCATTCAGTCTTCAAAATAATGAAATTATTCCCATTCTACAGTTGTGGAAATTGAGTCACAGAGAGGTTAAATAACTTCAGTCCCATTGCCAAATGCGTTATTTAGATTGTTAAGATCTTTTCTTGCCCTTCTTAGCCTAAGCAGATGGGAAGTGCGGTTTCATTTCTGTGTATCAAAGAGCCTGACATTTTCCAGTAAATGTCTTGAATGCTTTAGCTACAGCTCTGCCTGCATGACTAATCTTATGACCAAGGACAATTCACTTTGCTCTGGCATTCTTTCCCCTACTTGTTAATGGGAATAAAAAATATGTAATCTAACCATATTACTTAGAGAATAAAATTTTATATGTGAATTATAGGCTATGATAACCTATTTTTATAACTGGCATCTCCAAACTGTTATTTTTTAAATAAACCCAGACACACTTTAGTGATTATAAACAGTGCCATTTTTGTCATCATTGGTGGTTAAGCTCCAGCATTAAAAGGATATACATTTTCTCCCCCCTAAAACTCAGTATGAATGATTTTTTTATCCTGAATTCATGAATGTATCACTTTTGTAATGTGTGTACTATGTATTCAATTTTCTTAGAGCAGGTGTTACTTTGTAGTTGGTTAGGTGTTATTGTTACCATCCAAGAATGTTAATGTGTATTAGGATGTTGAGTTCTAATGGCTTTGGTAACTTGCCCAAATAATACATTATAGGTGTATTATATTAATTGTATATAGCAAAATTGCTGTGGACTGAGGGTAGCTTACTATAGCACAGAGTTAGCAAGCGCAACAGTCCATAGGACGGGGCAAATAAACAATATTACAGGGTGAGGTAGGTACTTTTAGGATCACTAGGGGCATGGTGAGTCTAAAGAACACAGAATTGTTTCAGCTAAACTTTTTAATTGAAGCATAGCATGCATACAAAAATGCACACAGATCATCTAAGTGTACAGTTTGATAAAATTTTCAAAGTGATTACATGTATTTAATCAACACCAGCGCTCCAGAATCATCTGACTTCAAACGTCCTGCAAGCTCCTTCTCATTACTCTTGAATTCTAACAATACAGATTGGTTTTGCCTGGATTTGAACTTTATAAAAGTGGTATATGGTATGTAATCTGTATGGAGAATAGATTCCTTTCGGGAGCATAGAAATAGTTTTCATCTTGGCAGTTTATTTAGAAAAAAACAACAAAAAGCACTGTGTAGGCCACTATTTTGGATTTTTGGAATAGCAGTTAAGAGTTGGGTTTTGGCCCTGGCATGGTGATCAGTTGCTTCCCGGTCAGGGCGCATCTTGGGTTCAGTCTCTGGTTAGGGCATGTATGGCAGGCAACCGATAGGTATCTCTCTCTCTACCACCCCCCCCCCCCCGCCCCTTCCCCTTCCTTCCTTCCTTCCTTCCTTCCTTCCTTCCTTCCTTCCTTCCTTCCTTCCTTCCTTCTTCCTTCCTTCCTTCCATTCCTTTCTGTCTAGAATCAATAAACATACCCCCTAGTGAGGATTAAGAAACAAACAAAAAGTTGGGTTTTGTTATCAAATTCCAGCACTACTTCAATATTCTTATCTTTAAAATGAGAAATTATAAAGCTTAAATGAATTTAAGGATTTTGTAAGTTGTATAACATATAGTAAGTGCTTGGTGAATGCTAGCTATTTTGTATTATTAATAGGACCAATTATGATTATGCCTGCCTATCAGTAGAGATAACACATCTAGAAATTTACCTATTTTAAGTTATACCATGCAGAAAAAATAAACTTAAAATATGTCTTCAGAACGCCCGTGCATTTTCCTTACCCGTTTACTGCAGAATGTGTTTATATGTGTGATTGTTCAAGATAAAGCACTGACTACGTTAGCAAATAGGGAAGAACAGCAAGTTCCTGACATAGAATTCATATTATGACTGTAAACAAAAAACTTATATGTTAAGAAACTAACATGGTGGTTTCAGAGAAAGCTGATTTTGGACTGGATTTAGGAGTTAACAGTTCTAGTTGTGGTCTTGCCATTAACTAGAGTGCCTGACCTTGGACAGATTGCTTAACTTTCTGGTCTTCAGTTCTCACTTATCAAATAATTTTAGGTTAGGTCAATTTAAAAGTTCTAGTTTTGTGGGTTTGGTTCTTTATGTATTGCAGAAAGCTAGCAGGTTGCCTGCTGTATTCTCTCTCAAAAAGCATAACAGAATCCTTCTTACATATCTATTTTGCATATTGGACTTAACAGATAAGCCTTCAGTCAAAGAGTTTCAGAGGCAGAAAAAGAACTCTTTTTTTTTTTTTTAAACCTCTGGACTAGATGTTCTGTGGTCTCTTTTATAACAAGTTCAAAGGTCCTGTGATTGTGAACTAAGAGCTATGAATCAAGGTCTGCGCAAGACAAAAAAGTACAATCCTGAAATTCAGGCATACTTGGGGCATAATATTTTAGAGATGGGAGAGGTCTTTGGAGAATCTGTTCTTTCCTCATTTTATACAGAAAAATCAGGTAACATGTTTATGAGCTCAACCAGTAATGGAAATTTTAAGTTTACTTTTAAATGCTAATGATAAACAAGGCACGCATGTTACTTAAAATAACCAGTCAACTAATTTGAGTTATTATAGTGTGAAAGTATGCAGCTATATAATATTAGTGCTTCTGTGTTCTATGACTTAATTTTGACTTTTGATTGAAGTTTCAATCTATGTTGACTAACTGAAATTAAACAAAAGATCTAGATAAGGTTAAATTTTGAAAGGAAACAGTTATTTGCAAAGTAGCCCTTATTTTATACAGTGTTTAGCTACAAGAAGTATTTCTTTAACACCAGTTAGTTCATACATGATTGGTAACGAGAGCAATGATGTCAGTATCATGTGGACGTTGTGTCAGTTCATATTCTGTTTTTCCGAGATAGTGAAGATCAAGAATAGAAATAGCACCTTTAGCGGGAAGGAGAAAAGCAAGCCCTCAGCCACACAGGCCAGCTCTCTTTCAGGTTTACTTTAAGAAAGTTGAAGTTAATAAAATTAAACGTGAGCACCCAGCTCAGTTGCTCCCGGGGCTCTGTTGCACCTCCTTCTGTCCCTCCCTGCCTTCATGGCGGCCTCACTGGCTCGGAGCTGCGCATCCCTCTGGATTTCACAGCACCTGTGAGTGGGCACTTCCACTTGATTGTTTTGTTTATTTTCAATATCCTCTGAGGGAGCCTCTACGTCTGAGCCACCTGCCTAGCTGCCCAAGTATTTCCTGAGTACTAGTTCCTGTTTTTCTTAGGGATATTTTTACAGAGTTATGTGGGTTTCAGTGGTTTGCCTCCCCCACATAAGCTCTCTTATTTTGTGTGCCTGCTTTTACAGAAGGCCGATTTTTCAGGATTGAGTATATTGTTGTATAGCCTAAAGACCTGTGCCTCATTTGTGACAACTTATTTAATAATTTAAAATAAAAATACTTATTCATCATTATAAAAGCAAAGGATGCAGAAATATGGATAATTTGAAAGTTGCTCCTAAACTGGTGAGTGTGTGTAATACGGTCATAGAGAACATTTTATTGTGAGACTTAGTTTGTTTTATATAGTACAAATTATTTTTATCCCCTGGTGCGAATGGTCCTACTTTTTGAACTATTTTTCTCTTAATTGCCATTTAGAATTTTTATTTTTACTATGAACCGTTGCGTTGAACATCCTTTGTACATATTATTGTGTAAATGAGTAAGTGCTAACATAGGAATGACTTTTAGAAGAAAGATTGTTGAATCTTGGGTTGTGCTCATTTAAAATTGATAGACTAACTGGCCCTCCATAAAGGATCTGCTAACTTGTAGTCCCAGCCATAAAGTTTAAGGAATTATTAGCTGGAAGAAACAGCTCTTTGATGTGAGGCTTAAGGATGGCACAGGATGAGAGTGCTGATTAAAATGTCAGGGATGGAGAGACAGTCCATTTGAGTTGGAACATTTGTGAGTTTGAACATTTTATACTTTAAAATTTGCTTTTCATTGTTTGTGTTTCTGTATGCAAAAGCCAAGATTTTTTCCTTATATTTTTACTTTTTATAGAGATACAACATACATAATGCAGAATTCTAAATGTATACTGCTTAGTAAATTTTTACACACTGAACACATACACTCATGTATCAGATAGGACATTCTGGACAAATGGGACATTGCCAGCCTCTTGGATCTCTTGCGTGACCCCGTCCTGTCACGAACTTTCACAAAGGTAACCGTTGTCCTGATTTACACGCCATTGATTTATTTTGCCTGTATTTTTGAACTGTATACACCTGGAATCATATAGTATATGTCTTTTTCAGTATTATTTGTAAGGTACATCCATGTTTTTGCAAGAGATTTTCCATTAGTCATTTTCATTGTATAGTATTCCACTACATGAATAACTGCAGTTGATTTACTCATTATGTTGTTGATAGGAACTTGAATAGTCCCCAGTGTGCTATTAGAAGCATTGCTACTATCAGTTTTTTTATTTATTTTTATTTATTTTTTTAAGGCAAGCCTGTGTAGACATTTCTTTTGCTTATGTAGACTTCAGAAATGATCGTAGGTAAGCATTCATCTCGCTTTAGTGGAGACTGCCGGTTTCTTTTCCTCCCCTCTAAAGTGGATTATACCAAATGTCACTGACAGTTCATTGCTACACTTCCTTTACCATACTTGATGCTTTCTTGTTTCAGCCATTTTGGTGGGCTTAGTTTTTATTTGCATTCCCTGGTTTCCCTAGTGACTGGTAATGTAGGCCATCTTTTCATATTTATTGACTGTTGATAACCTCATTTGTCAGGTGCCTCTTCAGAAGTTTACCTATTTTTCTTTTGGGTGCCATTTTTGATTTGTAGGAGAGTTTTTATGTATTAGAGGTATTAAGTCCTTTGTTTATGTTTCATGGTTTTTTTTTGTCAGTCTGTGGGTTATCTTTGTACCCTCCAATTAATACTGTGATGAATAGGTCTTAATATTTTCCAGTTTATCAAGTATGTTCCACTATATCATTGTATAGTTTCTTTTTTCTTTAGTGGTTTTTGTATTTTCAGGAATCTTTGCTTACTAAAGGTTTTGGAAATATTCTCTCTCTGTTTTCCTAATTCCTTAATGTTTTACCTTTCACATTTAGAGCTGTAATCCATCTGGAATTGGTGCTTGTATATGGTATGAGGTACAGGTCAAAATTCATTTTTTCCCCACGTGGCTGTCTAGTTGACTAAGCACTGTTGCCCTTTACTCACTGCACTTCCATGTCACCTTCTCATAAACCAGGTTACTGTGTATGGGATGAGTTTTTTTGTTTGTTTTACGTTGGTCAGTTTATCTTTGTACCAGTGATGTACACTCTTAATTTATAAAGCTTTATGGTAGTTTTTAATGTCTGATAATGTAATTTCTTCAGCTTTGAACCTTCAAAACAGCTTGGGATATCCTTGGTATTTCCCTGTAAGTTTTAGAACATAAATTTGTTAATTTTTCCAAGAAAACCTGCTGGAATTTTTATGTCGACTAAGACCAAATTGATAATTGACATCTTGAAAATATTGAATTTTCCAATTCATAACATAATATGTCCCTTCATTTATTTAGATCTTTAAATTACCTCAGTGAACAACACTGAAAAAGTTAACACTATTGACTTCTAGACTTATAATACCACTCTGTAGTCATTCAGACAATGTGGTGTTAGCCCTGGCTGGTTAGCTCAGTTGTATAGTGTCATTTGATACACTAAGGTTGTGGGTTTGATCCCTGGTCAGGGCACATACAAGAGTCAACCAATGAATACATACATAAGTGAATAACAATTGATGTCTCTTTCTCTGTCCCTCTCCTTCCCCCTTCCCCTTCTGCTTCCTTTCTCTCTCAAAACAAAAATCAATAAAAAAAGAAAAAGACAATGTGGTATTGATGCAAGTATATCTAAATAGTTCAGTGGAAAGGACTAGAAAGTCTAAAGCCAGCATAAGCAGGATTTCTTTTATGTTATGTTTTAATTGACAAGTTCTTTAGAGTGTAAATGAGTTCCGTCTTTGGTGTTATTTTACCAAGCATCTCTTGTACCCTTTTCACAGGTGTGGGCCATGTTTAAGGATTGCCCCAGCATTCAGTACTATGAGTAACAAGTACCCACAGGCAGTTTTCTTGGAAGTAGATGTACACCAGTGTCAGGTAAGGAAATGGCATCCTTTCTAAAAGATATTTACAAATCAATTTGAATTTCAACTTTAATATTGTCCTTTGTTTATTTGATCTCTTTGTGCATATGGTATTTTTTAATTTGAAAATAAGAAAATGCTGTGTTGAAATGAACATTATAAGTACCATCATGGCTGCATTAGTTAAGAAGGGTAATTCAGTTATTAATTGCCTTTGAGTTTGTTTATGTTAATAACTTTCTGATATAAAACTAATGTTGTTAAACTAGTAGGTCACCTGGCAGTTCTGTGTGTTTTTATATTTCTTTATTTTTTGAAAATCTAGAATTATATCTTCTACTGCGGAGGCATTGACTGGTTAGAAAACCATAGCAGAAAATTCTTGGTTATACAGGGAGGGGCAAAAGTAGTTGTGAGTATACAAAACTGAGTTTATTCTTGTGATATTATTTATTTATTGTTGTATTATTTTCCATACAAACAACCGTACACCTACTTTTGCCCCACCCATAGTTTGATTTGCATTGATCAGTTTTTAATCTTAGCTGCAAAGCTGCATATGCTGCATACACATTAGAAACTTTAAAATGTTGGTTACTTTTGTTGGAGCCACAGAGCTGTAGATAAGAGTGTCCTGATTACTTAGTTGGAATGACTGTGTGATAGTTGTGCATTTTCATATGTAGAAATATGGGGGAGTTCCTCCTTCCAATACTAACAATACAGTCCTCAGCTCTAAGGGTCAGCACTGTAGCCCCCTTTTTTTTTTTGGTTAGGGGGATGAAGCTTTGTCTTTGTTACATTCCTGAGTGTGAAAAAGATTTAGAATGTTATGTAGCTTGTAGTTAGTAGCTTGGGGATTTGATTAGTGCAAACCCTATGTTAATGTTATTATTTAATACTTACGTTACATACCACTGGACTGTAACGCTGGCTCTTCTTTTAAGGATCCACTGCCTCTAATCTGGACATGCTGCCTTCTGGAGCTGTGCTGCCCTCTAGCTACATACTTTTCTTGTTTTCTCTGAACTTTTTTTTATTATGGATACTAGGAAATTTTAAACTACATGTATGTTTAGCCCACATTTTTTTTCTTTTGGACAGCACTGTCCAAAAGGTCTGTCGTTTTTCTTTAAATGAGGCTTAGAGAAGACATCTTTATGTAGACTTTATGCTTTTTTTTCTTTAAACTTTTTTTCTTTAAACAATATAGTGGTTACCTATTCATAGTATTTGAATATTTAAGGTGACTCATTTATTTTACTATTTCCTTTATAAATTCTCATGAATCAATGCTTATGAGCTAATTCCCATTTACTAGTTAATATTATAGTAATTGTAGAGTTGGAGCAGAATTTAGAAAGATAGCTGTTGTATTATGTTTGGTGGGAGATCAATAAAAGACACTGGATTGAGGATTGCAATACAAAGTATATTACCTTATTTTCATTGTCAGACAGGCTTCTGTTTTTCATACGTGTATTTTTTCCTAGCACCAGTGGTTTGTGTTGACATATCAGTATCCATTTGGGAAACAGTGTGTACTTAGGGGAGGGCTCTCTAGTATTATAAAGCAGTTTCTGTGTAGGAAGCTAATTTTTCTACTGGATGAAGTATTTAACACTAAAATGATAAAAATACAGGGCTGTTCTTTATTGCAGATGTAAAGCTAATAATATAATGTAGTTGTGCCTCAATGGGTAATGAAGTTTAAAAAATAGGCCTGCCTTTTTATTTAAGTAGCAATTAGGGATAAATTATTTTACATGTCTTTAGTCCATACTTCTGACATTTAACTTCCATACAAATAGAAGTTGATATTCACAGTCATTTAAGATTAGTTTTAATTCATAATGCTATCTAATTTGTCAATTCTAGGGAACAGCTGCCACCAACAATATATCAGCAACACCTACATTTTTGTTTTTTCGAAACAAAGTAAGAATTGATCAATATCAAGGAGCAGATGCTGTGGGATTAGAAGAAAAAATCAAGCAGCACTTAGAAAATGACCCTGGAAGCAATGAGGACACAGATATTCCAAAAGGCTATGTACGTAGACTTAAAAGTAAAATCATGATGTATCTTGCCTTTGCCGTTATTTGGTTAAAATGAAATTGATTATGTTTTCATGTTTTGTCTTTTACTAGTTTGGAATACTTTCATATAAGAACTTTAGAAGTAAGTTCACTGGCTGACTATTGGGATTTGTCCATGTGTTTATATTACAACCTTAGCCCCATCATAAACTAGTTTCCTGAATTTCTTCTAATTTTCTTTGTCACTTTTTTAAAAAATCTGCTTTCTGAACTATTTTGATAGCCATTTTAAGACTTTCAAAAATACATTTTGCCCTCCAGAAGTAATGTGCTAGTTGCTGATTTTGTTTTAGAACCAAATATGACTTGAGTATTGGATGTGTTTTTCTAGTTTGAAGAGTAAGTTATTATTCTAAATAACAACTTGAAGACTTAAGAACTTAAAAATTTTTGAAAACTAGCCTGAATAGTTATAATACACTGTCTTTATATTTGAGTTATTCAGGAAGTTTAGAAGTAGCATTTTTTGGTAGCTGATTTGTTTATGCAGACTGATAAAGTTGTTGTATTGGCAGATTAAAAAAATGATCTTTTTTAAAAAAAGTTTTATCTCAAATTAAAGTTAATACATGAAAGCATGTATATTGAGTACATTAAAGCAAATCTGTCATGGGGCTGCAAGTCCTTTCTCTAGTCCCTTAAGTTCGTGCTGAATAAGGAAAACCTATTCAGGGAAATGTGAAAGACTCTTTGTGTATGTTTGTAGGTGTGGTGGGGTTGTGTCTTCAGAAAGTGACTAGCATGTGGTGCTGACAATATTTTTAGTTAGGGAAGTACAATTAATATTTATTTAAAGTAGAACTGCTACATATTGAATAATAACTTGAAATTTGTAGTATATAGAGTGAAAGTATAAACATGTTTTTTAAGTCAGGGTTGTGACACCTTTTGGAAAATTTTGGAAGTCGTTTGACTTGTAAACTGTTGTGTTTACACCTTTGTATTTTTTTTCTTTATTACTGAGGGTGTTTGCATGAAAGCACCTTATGAGCACAACAGTCCTGCTTCTTAGCTACAGGGATACTTCTTTACATATCAGCTAAGTATGATATCAGTGTTTTGGCCTAAGGTAGGAAAATAAGCAGGAAAAAAATAAAGCTTTAAGAAATAAAAATTTGTTTTCATGCAAATGTTATGAATACAGTATGAAAAACTATTAAAACATTTTTGTTTTTTTCCATCTGGTGTCAATCAAGACATTAAAAGTTTTGAACTATTTACATCTTAATAGGGTTATTAAATATTTAATACTGGTTAATGTGTTCCCAAGATCATTGCTCCCACAACACAAATAGAAACTTAATGGGAGTAAGAGACATTGAATGAAAACCTGTGTGTTAAGTAAATTTAAATATAAGCATTACAAAAATGTATTGACAGTTTTTAAATAAAATTTTCAGAATAATGACTTTTAATCATTATGCTTTAATGCTAAGAGGCTGTACAGTTATTTATTTTATACATGCTATAATTTTGAAACTCAAATATAATTTTGAAACTCTGGAGCCAAAGTAAGATAAATATATACATGTATCTCTTTTAGGGAGGTTTGAGATACAGCAAAGGATACTCAAAGTTTAAGAATCATAATAGAATTTTATTCAGAAGCAAAAGAGTGTTTTTGTGAGCATAATGACTTAGTTTTTTTAAATGTTTATTGAAGTTAGGAAAGTTTAAAACATTCCATCTTTTCTCTCCTTCCATTTGCTAAGAGTATACAGTACAGGGTCAAATAGTCTCCCCGCCCTCTACACCAAGCCGTCTTCCCCCAGAGTTTGTATGTGAGGCAGTCTGGAGCTGTACTTGCATTGGCATGTGTTCTCAATCTTGAGGCTTGTTAGTATATTGTTTTGACCTCAGAACTGTAAGTTTTGGTCTGCAAATATGTCATCATTAATCAAAATCACATCAGATATTAAATGACCCTAAGTTATGTAGTAAGTAGATCTTTCTTTAACCAAAATCTTGAAGAGTGGAAAGGTTCTTATGACTTCCTGTGTATCTTGTGTTGGATTTTCTCCCTCTCTACAAGACAAAAAAAAAGTGAAATTTATTTTAAAAAAATAGTTGACATTGTACTACAAACACATGTACCCTCACCTATGTTCATTGGTTCTAAATATTGTGCTCCATTTTGATATCCATCTACTTTTAACTTTTGTAAAAGCATTTTAAAGTGAGTTGTAGGTATCATCATGGTTCATCTCTTAGTATTTCAGCATGTAGCTCCTAAGAACAAGAATGTTTTTCTACATAGTCATGATACCGTTATCACTACTGAGAAATGTAATACTGCTACACTATCACTAATGTACAGCGTACATTCAAATTTCCTTAATTATCTTCAAAACATACCTTGTAGTTGTTTTCCTCTGTGTAGGGTTAAATCAAGGATCATGGATTGCATTTAAGTTGTTCTCTCTAGTGTTCTTTAGTCTAGAAACTTCTCCGTGCCTTCTTTTAAAGTTTAAACCAGCACCAGTCTAACACAGTAGCCACTAGGCAAAAGTGGCAGTTGAGCATTTGTTATGTGACTAGTGCAACTGAGGAACTGAATTTTTAATATTATCTAGTTTTAATTAATTTAGTGTAAAATTGCCATGTGGCTAATGGCTATCTTATTGTACAGTACAGGTCTATAAGACCACCTGACTTACAGACGGCCCCACAGTCTGGATTTGTCTGATTGTTCCCTCATAACTCTTTCCTCATTAGTTGCGAGTTGTTACACAGGTGATATTTATTTCCCACTGCGTATTGTCAGAATATGTCATTTGGAAATTTTGTCAAATATACAGTATAATACCAATTTGTTCCATGTAGACAAAGCACTTTAATGCAGCTATTGAATGTAATACATGTTTTGTGTGCCCATGATAAATAAATCTAAAATTGATTTAAAATAACTAATCTATTTAGTTTATTGTCATCATTAAGGTTTTGGAAGTATGACTACAATGTTGTCTTCATACCTGTGTTCTTAATCTGAGAAATAGTATTGAAGCACATCAGTAGGATGGAAAACAAGCATTTAAAAGACTTTTTAAAACTACCCTTTCAAGGCAGATATTTATAAAGTTCAGCATAATTCTCCAACAGTAGAACTCTGCTCTATGGTGCTCCTTTTTTCCTCCCTCCTTTTTTGGAGTTGGCTGCAAAATGTTTTACTGAGTAATATATTTAACATTTCACATAATATAACATTTAATGTAATACACAATAATGTTTGACTTTGAAAAGATTTAGGCTACCACATGAATAATTGGGTCTATTCTAATGAATTATTACCATATTGATCATTATTTGACATGTAAAAAAGTTTCCTTTAGTCTTTCAGAACTTCTTATACATGCATTAGTATCTTTGGATGAAAAAAATATAATAAAGACTCTGATAGAAAGGTGAACATGCAACTGACAATCTATAACACTTGGTGGACTTTAAAAATTGTCCTAGTTTAATAGGTGAAATGGATACTTTTCTAGGAAAATAAAGTTTATCAAACTCAACTTGACTAGAATGAAGAGTAAAAGAGCTGTTCCATAAAGGCCAAGACAGCTTCACAGGAGAATTCTACCAAATCTTAAGACCATATAGAAAGAGGAAAAACCTTCAGATTTCTTTTTGAAGTGTATCTGACACTGACCCCAGAATCTGACCGTTTGCGCCAAAACAGACAGTTACTGACCAGTTCCAGTGAGGAATATCTCTGTAAAAAAAAAATTGTAAATAAAATATTAGTAGGCAAAATCCAGCAATCCAGAGGAGAAAAATTACGATCTCATAATATGTGGAAAAGTTACTTTACAAAATTTATTACCCATTTATTATAAAGTATTCAATAAAATCTTAATGGAGCAGCAGTAAAGGCATTCCCACTAAAATCAGAAGCAAGACAAGGATGACCGCTGTTACCACAGGCTTTGGCACACTGTGTGGGAAGTATGAAAATAGTAGCTGACAGATGCACAGGAGTGGATTAGATGACACTGCCACAGAGGAGCAGTTGGCAAAACTCAGGATATTAGAAATCTGTAGGCTGAATGACTAGAATAAGGGATTTAAGAGATGTGTTAATGGAATGCAGTCTTTGTACTTTTTTTTATCCTTATTCTAACAATTCACCTATAAAACACTGAGGAAATTTAAACACTGATATTTGATGATACTGTGTTTTGACAGTATATTTTTTAGATGTAATATTGAAGATTTTTTAAAATGAGTCCTATCATTTGAAACATTATGCACACTGAAATATTTATGAATGAAATGAAAAAAGTCTAAGATTTAATTGAAAATAACCAAGAATGCTTGCGGACTGGTTGCAGGGTAAAGATGAAATAAGAGTGGGCATGAATTGATATTTATTGTAGCTGGGAGGTGGGTACATGGAGTGCGCTGTATTAATTCTATTTTTTGTATACTTGAAACTTTCATTTTAAAAAAGTTTTAAATCCTTATTTGCTAGTCATTTGTAATCTGAGTTCTTCATGGAGCTTTAAAGAATCCAGGGTTACTGGAAGAAGGAGGTGGGCTTTCTTTTGACCTTACAGATATTTTAATATGCATATTTTCAAGTATGCAAAGATAGACTGTAAAATACCAATATTAAAAAAATTATCAGTCAGTATTTTATAATCTTAGTGTTAAAGACTTGGTTTCTGATACCTTATCAAGTAGGCCAAGCCTAGATTTGGCTTTAATAATTAGTGGTAGATCTCAGTCAGAAATTCAAATGAAAAGATTATTATTAAAGTTTTAATATATACTTTAAAAGAGACATTTTTTCTAAAATTGCCTAATCTAGAGCGAATCACATAATTAAGTTTTTTATTAAGATTTTTATACCAACTCCAAATGTTTTGCCTAAAGTCTTGATTTAATTTTTCAGATGGATTTAATGCCTTTTATTAACAAAGCTGGCTGTGAATGTCTTAATGAAAGTGATGAGCATGGATTTGACAACTGTTTACGAAAAGACACGACCTTCCTGGAATCTGATTGTGATGAACAGGTAATTAATTGAATGCCTGGGTTAAGGCTTATAGGGATCATCAGTGTTCGTGCCTGCTCTTGTTTCTTTATCATGTTTCCGTCTCATGGTTTTATGCTCTCTTTCCTAGATGACCCCTGTTCTTTCCTTTTCAACATTTTGATTTTCTTTGACCCCTCTCCTTTGTGCAGACCGACCTCCTTTTCTCTGTTCCAAGCAAGCTGCCAGAGGCACTGGGCAGGATCACAGAACTCTTGGGCTGGCTCCACTGCCAAGTTGGACCTTCCCCACTCTTTAGTCCTTTTGTTCACTCTTGGCCTCTTCATTTACGTCTTACTCACGCAAAATGAGCACTCCCTGTATGTCTGGCCCTCACTCCCAGATGTGCACCGGTACTGTGCCCCCTGCCCTTCCCTGCCGTCCTGTCACAGAGGAAGTAGTGTCCTACTGCCTCCATCAAGCCATCTTTCATCTCGACTGTTACTGTCCTTCACCTGTTTTCTATCCCCGATTCTGCTTTGTGCCCATTCCAGTGCATCTTCTCCGTGTTTGCAAAAGCTGTATTTTTTCTAAATATAAATCTAATCATACTAATTCTTAAGAGTTACAGGATTCTTCACTGGCTTCAGGAAGACGGTGCTAGATTCTTGCTGACTTGATCTGTTTCTAGCTTTCACTCTCACCTCCTTTTCCCTTGTGGTTCAGATCTGTAAACATGTCACGTATATTCTTTTTGACACACTATTACAGGTTAAATATAAAATGTACTTATATTACCAAAGGATAGAGTCCAGGTTTTCTCTTAGGCAGAAATGCCATAATGATTCTAAAACTGTAAGTCTAAACCCCCTTATTTTTGCTCCAACCAGAGCAACCTTACTGCACAGCTTTGAGAATATTTTTCACGCTGTGTTCCTACTAAATGGTGCTCTGAATGTAATTTGATAGTGCATATCAGCAGGACTGGCTACAGCTTTCCTGAAACCTTCCCCCCCCCCAGGGAAACCTTGCTCCAGGGTAGACGCATACCCCTGCTACCTCAGACAGTTTTGGCTAGGAAGAAGATTAAGTGAATGAGTCAGAGTTTCTGAGAGAAAGACATTGCAGTAGTGTTTCTACTGTTTCCTTGTGTGGCCTTCAAATTCATTTAGTCAAATAAGTTAAGGATGGAGGTTTCGGGGAACTACAGAGCTTGAAGAACCCTCTTCTGTTGAATTTTGGATCGTACAGAGTCCATTTGAGGGCTTATCTCGCCACATAAGCTGTGCATTGTCTCCAAATAGTCAAGTGACGGGGGTACGTGCTTGACAAATAAACCATCCTGAAAAATGTTAGGCTTACATGCAAACTTTAATAAATAGTTTAAATTTTATTTTAATTTGGGAATTTTGTTTGAGTTTTTAGAGAGCAGATTGCTTGCCAATGTATAGGTCATAAGACCTTAGGTTCTTATACATAATTATAATGAATTATTCCATTAAATTTTTTGTTGTCATTCCCTTATATGAATAATATGATTGTATTTTTCAAATGTCAATCTAATAAGATTACTTTCAACTTACTGACTTTACATATTACGTTGAAATGAATTAAATTTTTTTGCCTCTGAGTTAATCCTACTTTGTTGTTATGTGTATTCAAGGTGTTCAAGAGCCCTTTTAAAATTAAACTATTATTTTCTTAACAGCTGCTTATTACTGTGGCATTCAATCAACCTGTTAAGCTTTATTCAATGAAATTTCAAGGGCCAGATAATGGTAAGTAATGGACAGCTTTTCTCTAAACTAACCTGCTCTGTAGACCTGTTAGCAGGCCCACCTCTTTTAAGTAGAGGTGGATATGCCTTGCTTTGGGAGTGAATTGTTTTTGGAACAAGGCATATAAATGAATGGACAAATAATGTGAAATTTATTTGTAAAGCTTTTAGTTTTAGAATTTAAGTTTCCCTTTAACCTGAAAGCAAATGAACCCTTTCTTTCAGTTGTTACTCTAAAACTCTAGGTTCAAAACAGCCTTTTCTTAGGGTCAGAACTGGGAGATACTATTTCACACTTCTGTTATAGGTGATAAAACTTAAGAGTCATGGCATGTTAATAGATTCATATTCTAATACATATGATTCCATAAACATGATTGTACAGACTTGGCATTTCTCTTTTGATTAAATAAAGACTTTTCCTCGCTCACCTCCTCCCTTTTTTTGTTTCAGTTGAGGGTTTTTTGTTGTTTTGGTTGGAGTGGAAGAGAGGTGGAGGGAGTAGGGACTAGATGTTTTTTTGGTTTTGCTTTTTAATTGATTGGAAGAAATAGCCAATGCCCTATTTTTCAAATAGCATTTCCTTCTCATTCGTTATTCTAAATTTTTATGTATTAATGAACTTTCATTGATGAAACTGTTCCTTTTTTTTGAAAACACAAAGTATTTGTAAAAGCAAATGCTATAGAAATGCACATTTAAGCATTGTGAATATTTTAGGATTCTTTAATCAGCCAGAAAATATGGGTCTTAGATGGTATGTACCCTGAAGTTAAAGATACTTAGATGCTCTGTAAATGTGATTTTACCACTGAGCACATCTTAATTCCTAAGATGAAATTTGGCAATTTGAATAATTAATCTCTTTGGCTAATGGTGTCACTGATAATGCTTTCCTCCTAAGTAACAAAAAATGTACCGATTGTTGGCAATTGGAAGGCCCAGCTCAATGGTGTTTCTTTTATGAAAAGTGTTAACCTGCATTTACTGACAGACTCCACTGCTGCTTTCTTATACATGCTCCTCACTAGTGGTATTACACTTACAGAGTACATCTTTGCAGTTGAGGGCAAGAGCTTTGAGTATGTGCATGTGTGCGTACATATATGTATGTGTTTTAATCTAGAATTCCTAGAGTATAGTGTTAGCATGCCAAGAAGTGGCTATGAAAATACTTAGACTTTCTTAGAATTCCGAAAGATGTTTGTAGATATGTACATATGTTGCCTGTTTGTGTAGTATGAATGTAATAATAAAGGGAAGAAAATATTACATGTTTGGTTTCTAGCATTTTATTTTATTCTATCATTTTATAGGTCAGGGTCCTAAATACGTAAAAATTTTTATCAATCTACCCCGATCTATGGATTTTGAAGAAGCGGAAAGAAGCGAACCAACTCAAGCTCTGGAACTAACAGAGGATGATATTAAAGAAGAGAGCATTATTCCACTTCGTTATGTTAAGTTTCAGAATGTTAACAGTGTAACTGTAAGTAGCATTTCATTAAGATATATTTAATGGGTTTGTGGATGACACCTTATGCTGTACTTAGTGATTCTAAATGATCCTTTAAAGTAGTTATTTGTCCACTTGGTTTGAAGTAGTAAAAATGTGAAATGAGCTAATTAGATTTTCTTCTTACTGTATCTATGTGCCCTAAGGGAAAGGGCAGGTCGATTTTTCTTTTTTTTTAAATTTGTGGATTTGTCAGTTTACTTCTTTGGCAACTTTGGTATATATTTGGCAACTGTTGCTAAAAGTTTCTTCTAGAACGTTTATACTTAAATTGAAGATATTCATGCTTTATTATTCATACCTAGTAAGGAGTGATAGGTTTGTAAAATTCACACTTTTCTAGAACACTGAGTTTTTAATAACGTAGTGGTCATGATCTCCGTAAAAATGACTTTGGAAAGATAATTTTATGTTAATCTACATTAAGAAGTTTGCTGCTGCTTTGCAGTTAGTAACTGCTTTTGTGAATTTTGTATTAAAACCCAGCGTATGCTTACCACCCCTGCCCAGTCCCTCAGAGGAGGGGCAGGCGGCTTCGGAGAGGGCAGTGGGAGGCCTAGGAAAAGAAGGGGGGTCAGCATGTCACTGAGAACAAATCTTGCCAAACTAGTGTGGTGTGTTGTGATGGGACGATTCTGCTTTTTCTAAATGAGAAGAATGCTGTAGAGCATGTGCTCATTCTAACACCTTGTGCTTTAGTTAGTGATGGGAGGAAGACAGTTGTTTATCAGAAAAGCTCTTCCAGTTTAGAAATCCTGATGTAATCTGCCATTAGAATCATAAACCATAGTTACCTTGTGATAGGCTCAAGTCTTGATGTACTGTGTCCTCTCTCAGTCAAAATTTCATTTAAGACAGGAAGCACGTCTGCCACTTTTTTTGGTGATAAAATTGAAATTGAAATGACAGTAGTGATCAGAGTCTCTAATTAAAGTAAGTGGATGAATTTTAAAAGCAGCAAATATAAAAACTTGTGTTTAGATTCAAAGAGCATTACAAATAAAGAAATGGAGAGCTGCTTTAATAGTCTACTAATTGTAGACTTGGAGTTTTTAATAGATGAGTTCAGTTTGAGATGAATCTGTGGTTGCCTATACAAACAACAAAGCTGCCTGATATTTGACACCTGAGAATTAAAGAATTATGTTGTCCAAATCAAGATAGAAGCAATATTACTCAGTAGAGAGCATTTAGAGTATTGTGTTCTAAAATATGGAGTGAATTAAAAAATAAATCCAATATATTGAAAAAGGACTTATGAGTAAAGCTCCTGTCTTCTAACATGCTGGGGTGGGGGGAGGTTTAAATAGAAAGTATAAATAGTCAAGTTTAAAAAAATATGGGGTCTGGCAGATGGATTGCCTGCTAGAGTATGGTTGGTAGGGTAATAATATGGGTGTAATAATTTATAGTTTTAATTTGAATATTTCACCTAAAATGTCATGGTTTGCTTGAGTGTGATATTGTTACGTTACAGGATTACATGCTTATGATTTTGTAATAAAAGATTTTGTAATTAAAAAGGGGCATTATTTGTTCCGGACCCTATATGAGCATAATGTAGCTTTACAATCCTATTTCCTTTTACTATTCTAGGAAATTGAATGAATATCAGAAAGAATATAACTGCAGGATTATTCCTTAGTGAAAAACTATAATTTTTATAAAATGTCAGTAGCACCCTGCTCATGATAATTGTGAATTTCCTATTCTTTAAATATTTCATTTTAAAGGATTTAATTACGACCCCCCACGCCATCACACGAAATGATCAAGAACTTGTGCACGTGGGTGTTATTCCATGACATCCCCGGAACAGATGAGAAGAGCGGGGCAAACAGTGGGATTAACAGTCCCCTAGGAGGGCTGGTCTAAATGTGATTTGGGCCAATCCTTATAAAGAGGGGAAGGCTCAGTGTGTGTATTAGTAATCTAAGGAAACCAGTTAAACGCATTTTTATGAAAGAAAGGATTGTAATCATTATTGTAAAAATTATTATTTTTTGGTAGATATTTGTTCAGTCCAATCAAGGTGAAGAAGAAACCACGAGAATTTCCTATTTTACTTTCATTGGTACTCCAGTCCAGGCAACAAATATGAATGACTTCAAACGAGTAAGTTTGTTGAGATGATATTTAGGGGAAATAAAATTATAATTTTAAAGAAACTATAAATATCAGAATCCTATCATAATGTTAAAATAGAACACTTGTTTTCCTGATCACATTTTAGATATCCAACTAAAAGAAATCTCTAATAAAAATTATAAGTCCTACTGATACAGTGCCTGTTAATAAATGACATCCAGTTAAAAGAGTAAAAATAATTGGTTGCAGAAAGTAGTTAGGAGTAATGGAAAAATAGTAAGTGAAATCATTATTATTAGTTAGCTTTTAAGAACAATGGATATTAAGGTTTGGATTATCATTTGTGATGAAAATATATAAAATGTCTTGTATAATTTTAATAAAAAACAATGGACTCAATTTTATTGCACTGAGAGGCTAACTTTCAAACTATGTGCTGAAAGAACAAATTTCAGCAAATAAGTTCTTAGTGAGCAGATTTTTGTATATACATATATATATGAGTAGATACATGTAAATAAATATTCTGAGACTTGCAAAGAATTTATAAGGTACATGGGACCATTAGGAATGAGAACATTTGTATATTCACGGAATTATTTCTAATTGGTAACAGTTCCTTAGGGTGACTCTTAAAATATACAATCACAGATCCCAAAACTACCTCCCAGAGGTGAATCAGCGCGCAGCCCTGGGGCTGCGTCTGTGCCGTGGCACAGGCGCTGCAGCTGTCTCTGCGCTCCGGGCGCTGGCGCCCTGCAGGCAGGCGGGGTAGAGCTCGAGACGACTGTAAAGGAGGAAGAGTTTCCCTTGGGCTGGCAGTGCTTAGAGAAGGAGGCATGCAGCGTACCTGTTTGACCCCTGTCTGGGGAATTGGAGCTGTAGAACATGTTGAAAACTGATTCTTTTTGATGGTATCCACAGATCTAATTTTAATTCAGTGACAGAAAAATTCACAAAATTGCATGACATTAGGTGACCTTATAAAATTGTATGGTTTTTACAAAATTGATAACCTTGATTATAGAGATTTTAACCAGTCATTTTACAAGTCTCTTCCTGTCTCATAGTATAATTAACTTTTGGGAACTGTAGAACAATCATTTACTTAGATCTGTCATGTTAAATGTTTGACATATGTATAACGACAGGTCAGGAGAAGCAGAGATTAAACATCTACATTTTTATGATATGAAGTATGCTGTACTGGGAAAATGTGTGAGCAACAAAGACGTTTTGGCTGCCTGCTTTGTTCCTTTGCCTGCTTGCATTAAATACCATTGGATTTAGCTTTAACTGTTCTTGCATAGTTTGTTTTTAGCTTAATACTTTGATAAGATCTATTACTCTAAGTCCCATTATTTTCTCATACCATTAACTCAGCTCTAGTTTCCTGCTTCTTACCTTAGCTTATGATTTTGGATTTCCATTTTTTTCTCTAAGTAACCACTACTTTACCTTGTCCATCTTCTTACCAGCCTGTCATTCATTAGTTTTTCTAATGTGCATTCACAGTTGCCTGCCTAAGAATCTGCCTCCACCTCTTTGTTTTTAACATTCCCCATCCACGTCTTCTAGTTTTTCACTTCTTTGACTGCCAAACAGCTTTTTGTGGACTGCGTTTAGAGTAGCAAAGGTGTTAGACTATTCTTGCTTGAAAGTATTTGTGCTTGTTTAATCACTTGGCTATGTGTTCATTTAATTAAATACTTTTTTTACCTTACTTAAAATTACTATCAAGCAGTAGCTGCCAAACTTTTTGGACTCTGGACCTTTTATACTATTAAATATTCCCGAGGACCAATAAAGAGCTTTTGTTTCTGTGGCTCTACTTATGTAACATTTACCATGTAGGAAATTAAAACAGAAATTTAAAAACTATTTACTTACAAATAATAAACTCATTGTATGTTAACACAAATAATATTTTTAAATTCTATATACTGTATTTTGCTGTGTATAAAGCACAGTTTTTTTGCCCAGTTTTTTTAGGGAAAAATAAGGATGCACATTATACACTGTCAGTACTATTTCTATACCTACATAAATGTTTTACATTCTTTTACTTATGCTTATGTGTTAAAAGTGTAACTCTAGGAAACAGTAGTGATATCTGTATGCAAAATAATGCCCTGGACTATGATAATTGGTTTTATTTCTAAATAAAAATAAATTAAATAAATTAAAAAATTAAAATGAAAGATTTTTTTTTCCTGAAAATGTGGGCCAAAAACGTGGGTGCACATTATACATGGGAAAATATGGTATTTTCTGAAACAAAAGCCAGCTTTGTGAGGGAGCATTGTTTTACACTTTTAATTGAATTCTCTCATTCTCATGTCTTGTTTATTCAGTCAGTTTTGCTATTACAGGTTATGCAGCCTCCCCAAAACTCCATTGTACACTTGTGAGACAGTGACAGTTAAAGAGGCAAAGGACAAGTTAGCATTATTATGAGAATAGTTTTTAGCTTGGAGACTTCAGGAAGGGTTTCAGGGACCCTTCCTCGAGCCTGGACCGCCCTGAACACTGCTGCGAGAGTAGTTAACACTGGAATGCGTGTGGACCCCTTTCTTGGTGTTTTGGACTTCTTTGTCCCTTGCCTTTAATGTTTGATACATTTTATTTGGTTGAATGGTTTTCTTATATAATATTAATATTATATTACATTTCCTTTTAATAACTTCTGAGTGAGATTTGTTCTGTCTGAAGGATTCATTGTCCTAACGGGTTCTCAAAAGTAAGCTAATTTCATTTTTTCATATGTATTATGCAAAGTCAACAACTTTAGTGTAGGAAAATTGCAATAAAATTATTGTATTTTTAACTGAAATTGGTGAGTTTGGTCCTCTTTTAGAGTTGCCTATTAAAAGTTGAGTTTGGTTTCTAGTGAAGGAAACAATAGATTTGTGATGCGGTCTTTGTTGTCTTTGTGGTACTGTGCTAAGCACAATCATGATCCTTGTCTATGGTGAGTTTACATTCTTGAAGAATAATACATAAACATCTGTTAAGTTAATCAAGTGAATCAAAACGTAGTTCTAGCTTCTCTTCCTCCACAGAGTATTCTTACACTTTCCAGCCCAGTGTTATTTATTTTATCACAACAGTGCTGGGAAAGTATAAGAATATTTTGTGAAGGAAGAGTATTTTGAATTCAACTTGAAGAGTAGAAGTGGATGGAGGAGAAAAGATAGCAGTGGGCTTATTAGCAGGTAGAACGGAAAGCAGGAACTTCCCAAGCAGGACAAGTCAAGTGTGGTCCTTTCTCTTATTTAGTTGGTCTGAATTTTAAAGGGATTACACATAGTAATTAGAATTAAAAATTTCAAAATAGATTTGGTACCTGTTTTATCAACACAGAGAAGAAATTTTGATACCCTTGTGTAGTAAAGTTATATAAAATGGTTTAATGAATGATAAAATAGGATTATTATAGCATTTTCAGTTTACATTTTTATGTTGTGTGAATCATTCTAGATAATTTTAGTTTTCAGTATGTCATTGACCTCTTGTGTCATTAAGATGACAGAGGCTAAGGTAACACTAATGAATCTTGGATGTGGATAGAAATTTTAGACCACCTTGCTTGCTATTACAACTTTATGAGGTTACACTTTTAAGGTTTGGTAGACTAGGACACACCTTCCACTTGTCTGTGTTTGGCTCTTATAGGCATGGTGCACAGATTATAATATACACTTCAGCCATTTGTTGTTGTAAATGGAGTCTTTGTGTTGCAGCATGAAAAGCTTGCCATCTTAATTGGAAGTAGATGTTTTCTTTGCTAAAATATGCTCTGTACATGGATTGCTGTATTTTAATACAAAAGTAATAAAAGATAAGTACCAAAATGGGCAACATTGAAGGGGCTTCTGCTTCTTAGGGAATGAGGTGCATGTGAAAAGCAGAGCAGATTCCCTATCACTGTAATAAAAATAGACTTTTCTAAACTGGCCATTCACCGTATCAGCTATTTTTGTAACATTTCTGTCTGTTTATTTTTCAGCTTTTTTAATCCAACTCAAATGAACTAAAAACAGAAGATTTTTAAAAATGAAGTAATATAAAGTGACCTTATCTCACTCTACTCCCCTCCTTGCTTCTCTGCCCATCTTGCACCTGTCTGCTCTCACCCTTCCCATGTCTCATCATTGCTGGTGCGAGATCTCTGCAGCTTCCGCCATCTGGACCGGCCTTACTGTTCACTAGGTTTCCTCAACCACCTCTTTCTTCAGATCTCACTCCAGTCGTGTTTCTCAACTGGCTTTTTATTTTGTTTCTGTTTTTGTTTTGGGCTTGCAGCGAGGTGCTTTGATTTCATTCCCATACTGGGTTGCTCCCCTGACATTTTTTTTTAAAAACTTTCGTCCTGTCTCATATTTAATTTTGTACTACCTTTTGAGAAATAATATTGCAATAAAACTGGCATTGTTGTAAATGGTTTCAGATTTAACTAGTTGTTGGATAATGTTTTGATCCAATCTAAAGTTTAAATTTTAATTTTTAGGAACCATAGAATCATTTTGGGAAACAAGTATAAACCATTTCATCAAATTCTTTTATCCTAGTTGTAGTATAATTATTGATTAGGCTGTAGTTGAGAGATGTGCTCCCCCCCATCATTGGAACTGTAGCCCAGAAGTGATTATGCTTACTAACTGTGGGTGTGTCCTCTGCTTTGCCTGCCCAGAGGGGGCTCAAGGCCAGTTGAAAGACTTATGGACTGAATGGTAGACTGGTTTAAAATATTAACATAGAAGGAAAATGGACTCTGTACTGAAGAAATATTTTTGACACCTAATTTTGATGTACCTAGACTTTTGTTTGTCTGAGGTGTTAATATAAAAACTTAAAATGAATAAAAGAGTTTTATGTTTGGGGTGAGAAAATCCATATTGGAATGTTAAATTTCTTCTTTTTTACAGAGAATACACATTGGCAAGTTGAGAGCTATCAACCTGTAAAACAGTATGCAGATTTGTGTCTTCTACTGTATCACATCTGCTAAAATTTTAATTTTTAATATTCTTTTTGTTTTCTTTTGCTTAATCTAATAGCTCTGTGTTTTGTGTGTTCCCAAGTGATACAATGATCAATAATGCTTTCAGTGTTTACCTGCTTGAATTCATTTGTGATACAAATGGTTCCATCTCCCTTTCTTTTTTTAAGAAGGCTATTAAAACCTGCATTTTTTATTCTCATCTACGTACTCTTTTCTGAGACTCTCTCTTGAGCATCTTTCTGGCGTTTTGGACTTTCTAACACGTGGTTTCCTTGGATTAGCAAGGAGTTCTTTTAAAGTAATAAAAGTGATTTACTTGATATGGGGAAAACAGCAATTCTAGCATTACGTGATTGGACATTCAGTGGAAGGGGTTTTACTATCTTCTTTCATGAAAGACATTGGCCTAGCCATGTTTTATTTTAGGCTAGACATGTACTGAAGACCTTTTTGAGTTTTGCTTGATTCAGATACTATCATTTGGAAAAGATTCAATTTAAAATATGAAATTTACACTTACAAATGTATGTAGACATTTTTCTATACAAATATATATATTCAATAGCTTGCAAGTAGATTTCCTTTGAGGCATTTCTATGAGAATACATTATTTAATAATAAACTTTAGGTTTGAGGTAAATTATTTAATTAGAACATAGTTTTAGAACCTTCCCACAGAAAATTTATTTTCTAGAACTGTTGGTAGAAACCAAGCATCTTATTTATATTTTTATGCTGCCACATTTATAGCAACTAGGACATTTTAAAAACCTAATCAACAGTTTTTCTAATCATTGACAGAAGATTTATTTTTTATATTTTTATAGTACATTTATAGAAACCAGAGTTTCTTAAAATTAGAAACTAGGCAAAATTAGTCATTTTTTAATATTTCTGTTACATGGCTACATATTGAGGGAAACATCTAGAAACCTGTCATCTTGGACATGAAGACATAAGTTTAGCATACTCTTTTAATTCTAGATTGTGTTTGACATTTGATTTCTAATTTTCTAAAAATAGTATGCCAAATATGTCTCATATAGCATCATCTTTTTATTAACTTCTCTAAACTGTCAACCTTGTTTTGAAAAATTGCATTACTTTTCCTTAAAACAGTGTGGGAAACCAAAAATAGCCTGCATGTGGTGTATTTTTAATTCCTTTGAGGCTGGAAGCGGGAGGTGGGGGGAGCAGGGGAGGGAAGGAGGGTCACAGTTTGTCTCAACAATGAAATATACTGCATGCCAAAACACTGCAGGGATAAAAGTTAATTCCAGGTTTTAAAGGTGACTACCAATTAATATTGTTTTATAATATTATTTTGAAAATAAGCCATATTTCTCAATCAATAAAACGTACATATAAAGTTATTTTTGTTTCTTCTAGGTAGTTGGCAAGAAAGGAGAAAGTCACTAAGGTACAAAAGCCACTGGAAGGCCACCTTGCAATCAGATCTGCAGCTCCTGGATAACTGCTCGGTTCTCACCAGAGACTGTCAAAATTCCATTCATTGCCATTTCCAAGAAATCATTGCTTTTGTTCAGAAGATAGCACTAGTTTCTATTGTAATCTTGTTACATGCAATTGTAAATAAAAGTCACTACTTTTGCCAAGCTTAATTTTTGTCCTTCTAAATAAGTATTTTCTCTTTCCCTTTATTTGAAAATTGGCCAACTTTTGATTTTAGAAGAAGCGGAAGTGTCAGGTAGCATATTAAGCTAAAGCCAGTTTCTCTTTCTAGAGGAGCAGAACTGCCCTAGGGAGTTATGGAGCATGTGTGCCCTTGTGTGTAGGCGTACAGGGAAAGGGGCTTTGATCAGTCGACTGGAGCAGCTATCCATGTTCAAATGGGCAAAAAACTCATGTTTGTTAAACAGCTTTTGGGTACCTGGGCTATAGAAATTACTTAAATTATAAATGACCAGAAATAAAACAAGCGCAGTGAGATTTAAATGTTCTCACCTAAAATGTGCAGTTAATGAAACCACAGATTTTAATTCTGGATAAACTTTAAAAATTGGAGTCAGCCATTTTCTTACTAATAGAGGTATGTTGAAATTTGACAGTAGAGAAAATACGGAACTCAGAATTCATGAAGTAACATGAATCAATATCCTCTAATCAAGTATTTTTTCTTTTAACTACCAAAAGATGCAGTGTAAATGTTCAGAGAACTTAAGGTTGAAAATGAATTGGCCAAATGTGTATGTTTAAAAAGTCTTTCATAAAAGGTTGGCAAAGTAAAACATCTGTTCATTATTTTTTTAAATCTTTAATCTATGAAGTATTGGTAAATCTAATGTTTTAATTTCTTTATTTTTAAGGTTAAAATGTAATATTTTAATTTCTCTAAGTATTTTAAAAATTCAGTGTTTGAAAAAAGTACATAAGACTAATAGTTTTAATTCAGTTAATTAAATAGTACATTTGGGGGCATTTTTGTCTAGGAAATGGTAGAGATACCATTTTGCCTTTGGGAGACCAATGTATTTAAACACGTTTATGAAAACAATTACATATCAGTTGTTGTGTTAAAATAGTCACTTTCTGAAACCCCCTTGTCACTAGATAATGTTTAGTTCCTTTGTATGTAAGTACATTAACTGATCTGTGGTGATTTTCTGTGTATCTTATGTATTTCATTTTTATGTTGCCTTGGGTCAAGTGAAGGCAGAAGGGCAAGAAATAAAAGTTCATAACACTCCTTAATGTAGACCATCTCAGATTAATCACGTCTGAAATTGAGGATAAGGCTAATAACAAGAGTTTTGTTTTACACTTTGTACACCTAATCTTTTGAGTAATTGTTAAAGTGCCTCATCTGAAGTATTGCTGACCTCATCCTATTTATACTTGACAGGTTAAAAACCCAGTGAAAGTAATTTCGTATTTGTAAAGGATTGGGCATCAGATATATATTGTTTATGTGACTTTTCTATAACTCGGTTGCATTATGCAAACATTCCATAATTATTTAAATTGTAAATAGTGAAAAATGAATGTTTATAGGTAACTGTAACGTGTTTCACTATGGGAAGTTTTACAAATAAACATGCCTAGTTGACATTATTTAAATTACCAAGCTGAAATGCTGGTGTTTTCTCCTCAAACAGTGTATGTGCATATATACACATACACATACGTACATAAATACAATGTAACATGTACACCACTTAACTGAAGCTATCCTTTAGTATTTTCTGGAAAACTAATATTTGGGTTTATTGTTTGTTTTGTGAAACATGGGCAAAAACTTCACAAAACTTTTCCCATGATTTTGCATTTTTTGTTATATTTTATATCAGGGTGCATCATCTGCTAGGAAGCAACAATGAAATACCCTGTCCACGGTGGAAGCACAAGGATTTCAGCACAGAGTCTCTGCGGCAAAGAGCTGAGGGCGCGAGTAGTGCACAGGCTGCCGGGCTCTTAAGCCCGAGGCAGGCACTTAGGGCCCAGTTGGCCCAGATTGGCCCCCAGTCTCATGTTGGGGGCAGCCACTTAACCTATTGGAGTTGACATATGACTGGAAACACATCTGCCATCTTTGCCCCAAGGCTTGGGGATGCGCACTATTTTTTTGCAGCGTATACGACTGCTGTTACTGTACATCTCAGCATTTTATGTGTGGCTGCCATTAATACACTTGACATGGGCGGTTGCTTTTTGACCTAAAATAGTTCAGATCTTCCCATGTCGTCCTCTATGTCTAAAATAAAACTTTAATACTGTAATAAGAATACATAGTTGGAATTGAGTAAATTAGTCAACTTAAATCCTGTCCTTTGTAAGCTTTAAAGAATGAAAAATAATTAGGGCTTACCCGTATTGCTTGTATTTATATAGTTCAGTGTAGCAGATTGTTTTGCAAAGGTATATATTTATTCCGAAATTGATCATTTCTAACAGATAAAATTTTTAAAGAAGTGTAACAAGAGGAAATCAGTTCACTGAATGTCTTTTAAAGGATCCTACTGAGAGGTAGGATCTTTGAAGTTTGTGCTCCTACTTGTAAGCTGTGCCATTTTGAGCAAGTGACATTCTTGGAAGCTTGAGTTTCTTGTGTAGAAATAGGACCATTACACTTTAGGCTTGTTATGAAGATTAAGTGTGCATAATTTTGTGTCTGAAACAAGGGTCTGTACCGGGCCATCTCATCTTGCCACCACTGCTTTATAGTCCATTTCTTGTGTAGTATAACGCACTAGTCTCCTAATTGTCTCCTTGCCTCTCAGCTGGTGTCTAGTGTGTCCTTCCCTGGCTGTTAGTTATCTTTCCTTTTCTGGTCTTCATAATCTGATCCCTCCCTCTCCACTTTCCTTGTGTCCGCTGTACTAGCAGTTACCAGAATGTACTCTGATAGGCTAATGCCTTCCACCTACCTGTCCACCCAACAGATTGCTACGTATTTACAAGGCTCAATCCAAACAAAACTGACCGAGGTAACACGTAATGACTCTGTACCTTCTCTGTTGCCATATGCACACTATGGTTATTTTGTCCTGGTACTTAGCAAACTACACTGTTATTATTTGTAGTCTTATTTGCTGAACCAGTTTATGAGCAGTAATTTGTCCATTGTACCAAACCAGTTACTCAGATCTCTATCATCAGTAAACACAATATTGAACAAATTCTCAGGTTCCAAGAGGAAATGCTTAAGGTAAGTCTGAGAGGTTGTAGGAATTTGCAATTAAGCAGGGTATGGAAGAAAATTTAGCAGTACTAAAGGAAAAGTGTATGGTATGTACATAAAATGAGAGTTAAAGAGACTTCTTCGGTAAGGGAGGAGGGGAAGCTGGAAGAGCAAGTAGAGATCCTATCATGAAGCTCCTCTTGCAGTGAGAAAGATCATCCGACTCTAATTTATGGGAGGGGAG